CTCTTACTGCCGTACATATAGTAGGCGTACTACTAACCCTAGGCAAAGGTTAGTAAGGGACAGTACTAATACAAGATAGTATACATACTACTCTATAACACAGGTCTACTCTAGTAACTAACTAATAAGGTAGCGACGCCCCTTATAGCGCTACCTTCTCTCTAGTTAGCCGTAGTAGGCCCTTCTCTCTCTCCTTCCTTATCCTTACCCTTATTAGCCTTACTAACTCCTTCTCTCCTCTCTCTTCTCTTATCCTTCTTAGTATCCTTAGTATCCTCTCTCTTAAACTCCTTAGCGCCCCTTTCCTAGGCTTAGACTAGTATATCTCTTACTAACTTATTAAAATAGTCTAGGTTATTATTATTATTAATATTATCCTTATCTTTATCTTCTCCTTTATCTTTATCTCTATCCTTACCCTTGTCCTCTTCTTCTTTCTCTTCCTCTACCCTACGCGCTATAGCTACTACTTCTTACTTAAAGAAGGTAGCGCGCTTTGTATAGACAGACTAGATAAGGGAAATTAATAAGGAGGTATCCTAGAGAGGCGGTAGAGCCTTAGTTCTATAGGCATACATACCCTTAGTAAGGCCCTTCTTCTTCTTCTCTCTCTACTTTATCTCTGTCTTTGTCTCGGTTATCGTTATTACTATTACTGTCGTCTACACTACTGTCTTTGTTGTTATCGTTGTCTTTAGCTTTAGCTTTAGCTTTAACTTTAGCTAGGCTACTACCTTCTCTAGTGCTACTTTTAATCCTAGCTTAGCTAGTGTCTCTTCCTTTTCTTTTTCTTACTTAGTAAGGGCAGGGAGTAGAAAGGGACGCGAGTTAGCTATAAGTACAGGCCGCTTAGCAGGCTTTAGCTATATAAGGTAAGAGCGTTAGTCTATAGGCAAGTAATAAGGGGTACTAATAATAAGGAATACACAAACCTTTAATAAAGTATCTAGACTAATCTAGGCAAAACCTTTCTCTAGCTCTCTAGAGGTAGATCTATAAGTACTAAACATTATAAGGAGGCCGGGCAAAAACACCCTAGACCTACCTTAAGAAAGAGTAAAAAGGTTATTATTATTAACATTATTATTATTGTTAAATCTACCTAAGATACAAGCGTTAGATTATATAAGGATAGACTAATTATTAGCCGAATTATTATATGTCTCTACTATAGAAGAACTAGCCTAGAGAGGCTTACTAGTATAGACACGCTTACTAGTAGACTAGTAAAGTAGAGGGGAGTAGTCGTGTCCTTACTTCTATAAGGTTACGGTAGGGGCGGCGTAAAGCATCTTAAAGAAAGGGACGATTAGGAGATGTTAAGGTTACTTTAAGAGTTTAGTTTTAGAAAAGAGAATTTAAGAATAGATAGAGAAGAGGAAAAGGTTATAAGTAAATTAGTAAAGAGAAAGGTAAAGAAGTAGGATGTTTATATAAAACATAACAAAGACCCCTTACTAGTAAGTAACTAAACAGGCAACAAGAACTAAACTAGATTTAGTATAAAACAACAATTAGGACAATAATTAGGACAGCCCTAGGCCTATATTAGGACAAGCCTGTATAGCGTCCTAGCTAGTAAATAAAGGCTATACCTAATATAAGTACGAAACCGGTACCTAAGGTAGTTATAAAAGTAATTTATAATATAAAAAGAGAAAGAGGCTTATAAGATTAGAATTTTTTTATCTTAAGAGTTAAAAGAATAGCGTATAGACAAATAAAGGGCAACCCTTAGGTAAGAACTAAGGTAACTATAGGTAGTTATTATTTTCTTATTTCTATTCTAAGAACAAAGTAGAGTACTAAGAGTAGTCTAGTATATATAAGGCGTGCTATATCTATAGCGATATCTATAGGCTTATATAGAGAAGATAAGGACATAACAAAAAGACCGGTAATATAATAGCGCCTTAGTAAGAAGGTTTTATTTTCTTTCTCTCTTATAGAACTATATGTATACTAAAACTTAGATTAAACTCTTATAGTACCTAGTATAGGTATTTAATAGAAGAAGATGTTACTACTACTATAGTAAGTACGAATTTACCTAATAACTAGGCTACTAGTATTAGTAGTAGTTGCCTTATACCTTACTTACTAAAGGGGTTTTTACGACACTAAGAGAGTCTCTTTACATGTTTAAAGTTTAGCTACTAGATACCTTTTACGTGTTTACTAGTATAAATAAGGTCTTTAGATTATAAGAAGAGCCTCTCTTAGTATAATATAGTATTAAAAAGGCTTTATAAGAGCCTTTTTATTACCTTATCTAAATAAGAGTTTTCTTTCTTAATACTACTACCTTAACTACCTTAAAGGTATCTAGGACCTTACTACTTACTATATAGGCCCTTAACTTAGGCTTTAAATAATTAATAAGAAGGTAGATATAGAACATCTCTAAGAAGGTATAGCTAAGTTTAATAACTAGAGAGTTATACTATTAAAGGAAATTCCTAAAGGTCTTGTTTTAGTTTTAAGTTAATATTTAGAGTTTTAATACTACTTTAAGAGAGTAGGTACCCTTATCTATAATACTATAAAAGAGCTATACCTTTATTTCTCTCTAAGTTACATTAAGAACTAATCTACCTTTTTCTAAGAAAATAAAAGACTTTTAGTACTCTTTAATATAATCCTTTAGTACTACTACTATAGCGCTAACGCGTTTAGTATCTATTAGATAACTCTCTAGATAAGTATTAAACTTTATTTTCTAGTTAAATAAGAAGGTTATAATACTAGTATATATCTTGTTTTTTAGTAGAATAAAAAAGGTATTATAATAGCTCTTTCTTATTTCTTTAATATAAGTTCGCTAAAAAGGCTGTTCTACTTTAAGAGGGTTATTAAATTTGTATAGGTTTATTAAGAGAGCCTTTCTTTTCTTAAGTACTATAAGGTAGTCTTACTTTTACTTAAGGTACTACTCTACTCTTACTTAGACGATCTTCTTGTTTAACTTAGTCTTACTTAAGAAAAGGATTTCTATTAACATTTAAGGGGTTATACTAGGTTTACTACTATCTACTTATAAAGAGGTATTCTAAAGAGTTACTTAAGAAGAGGCCTATGTCTTATTAAGGTTTATTTGTTAGGTCTACGTTATTACTTCTTACTCTAATAGTCTATAACCTTTTAGTAAAAGAGAGAGATTAGAATATTAAGTATATTTCTATAGAGTAAAAGAGGTAAGAGTTAATAGATAGTTATAGTATATTTAAAGGTATATTACTACTTTAACTATAGACTAATCTCTAAACCTCTTTCTTTTTACCTCTCTCTCTTCTATTCTTATACTCCTTAACGCCTACTATTACCTTAGTCGTAGTACGTAGTTACCTTATACTTGATTTCTAAGCTATTATAGTCTTACGTGTTAGCGTACCTAATATACTCTAAGAGTAGATTAATCGTTATAACTTATATAAACAACTTCTTACTAGTTAGCCTAAAGGAAAAAGAACTAGCTAATCTAAAAGTAGCCTTATAGAACGCTTTTAAGATAAAAGATCTAGGTCTTTATTACTACTTTATAAGCGTTAGGATTATTAAAGATAAAGAAAACAGAACTATATCCTTTATATAAGACGCTTACGTTAATAAAGTACTTAAACGCTTTAAGATAAGTAATTATAAAGCCTTTAAGACGTTATTAGATCTAGCTTACGTAAAGCTTATAGTTTTAAACCTAGAACACGCTATAGTAGATTAGATTAAACTATATTAGTAGATTATTAGCTCTCTTATATACCTATTAATATAAACACGCCTAGATCTATACTATTTAATATCTATATTATTACGCTATCTTACAAATCCTTTTACTAACTATATAAGTACTATAAAACACGCTTTACGTTACTTATAAGGTATACCTAACTTAGGAATTATATATAAGATAAGTAAAGGAGTATTAAAAGAGTTATATAAATATAGTAACTTAGATTACACTAGTTATATAAAAACACAAAGATTAACTATTAGATATCTATTTAACTACTATAGTAGTATAATATCCTTTAGATTAAAGCGCCTATAAGTAGTAGTACTCTCTTTTATAAAAACAAAGTACTATAGGCTCTCTAACGCTATAAGAGAAGCCGCTTAGCTAAGATAGCTATTCTATAAGTTAAGTATTAACTTAAAAGACACTAAAACGATCTAAATATATAGTAATAACTAAAGATCTCTAGTACTAACAGATAACCTAGTTATCTACTAAAGAACTAAGTATATTAACGTATAGTACTACTATATTTAAGAGTAAGTCGTACTAAGTAAAATAAAGGTCTAGTTTAAGCGTATAAAGGATATAGTAGTAGATAGGCTTACTAAAGCTCTAAAAAGACCTAAACACGCTAAGTTCTTAAAGCTGTTAAATCTATACACTATAGCTATTCTAATTACCTAATTAGGACGATTCTTTGTTTCTATTTCCTTTTTTAGTATTAAAAGTAGTAGAATCCTACTAGTTTACTATTTCTATTTCCCTTTTTAGTAATAGTAGTAGTAGAATCTTACTAGTCTACTGTTTCTATTTCCTCTTTTAGTATCTTACTTAGTAGAACGGCAGGTAGTATAGAGTTTAGGCTAGATAGATAGATAGGACGTTATAGGCGTAGATTTAGGGGTGTGTTATAAGAAACCACTAGCCTAATTACGTAGGGTTAGTAGTTACGGGACTAGGAGGTCTAGAGCCTTAAGTCTAACCTAATTAGGGTTAGCAACTCGCCAAAAGTTAGTTGTTTACTATTACTATACAGGCACTCTGTATGATTACTTCTTACTTAGTCAATTTAATTCATGGTTCCTGCGATACGACGATAGATCGAATATCCCGTGTAACAGAAAGAAAGATTTGTAGAGTTATGTGGGGAGAAAGTACTTGGTGGCTCTGATTGTTTTTGGGGGAGGGGGGGGGGGTCCAAATTTTATGTATGTATGTCAAAGTATATATGCGTAATGTAAAGTAATTGTAAAAAAAAAGGAAGAGACTTGGAAGGAAGGAAGGAAAGCTGGTTAATTGATCTTATGCTTTTCATTTATTGTATCCCATCTCATATCCATTCATACCATTTATATCATTAAACAATACATAAATAAAATAAATAAATGAATAATAAAATGCAATGCAATGCAAAAATAAATCCCCAATTTTGCCACCCTCGACTGCATAACCACCCATACCTACACACAACCCAGGCCAACCCTTAAATATAATGAATCGTATCATGCTATATGTAGATGGATGCACATATATATGTAAGATAAATGAAAGCCCCCCTTTTTCAGCGGCTGCTATGGCTGGCTGTATGTAGCAGCAGGCAGCCTTCAGCCCCCTCCCCTGCAATCCCTTCTCCAATACCATCTATCCATCTTTCGTAACCTCGAGATGAGTAGGAAAATCCGCCTCCGGTCGGCCGTCCATGCAAGATATCCCGTGACCTCGCGTTCCGCTCTGCTGGTGGCGCTACACCAATGCATTACCCACGATCCATCCATCCCATCCTATCCCATTCCATTCGTTCAATGCATCCTTTTCTTTTTCGAAATTCCCAAAAGAGGAAAAAAAGAAAGAAATCAGAAAAGAGAAGTATCAATTCACGTGATTGATATAAACACGTGACGTATCATGCGGCTGAAGAAAGCATTCAAGCGGACAAACGACGCTCGCTCTCCTGACACGCGATGCAGACGCCGCCGCCAAAGACCCTGGTATGGCGGCGCCAGCCCTCGGCGACGAGGATCTCGCCACTGACTTCGGTGCCGGTGGGAGTGGTCTTGGTGTAGCTCCGGCGGCGGGGCGGGAGGTCGGCGGAGGCGGCCGAGGAGGGGTCGAAGAAGGCGGGGTGGGAGGAGGGGAGTGGTGGGATTGAATTGTTGAGAGGAGGGGGAAGAGGCAGCGGGGGTTGATATTGAGATGTTGGGGGGGAGTGTGTTTGGGAGGGTGGGAGGAGAGGTTGTTTTTCGTTGAGTAGTGATGGTGATGATGGTGATGGCGGAGGTGGAGGGACTGTTTGAGAACTCCGTCGTTGGCTTCGAGTCAGAAGCGTACCAAGGGAAAGGAAGAGGATGGCGGCGAAGAAGACGTAGAGGGGAGATGAGAGCTGGGCGGCATGGTGTTGCGGCTCGGAAAGGACTGGCATGGCGGCGACGACCCGTGATCAAGGGCGACGACCTGACCTGGAACCAAGAGAGCGGACCTGTCTTCCCACGGACCCGGGATTATGTACGAGGGAGGCAGTGTAGGAACGTGTCGTAGATGAGAGCATTTAAAGTTGGGCGACATAAGACATTATGTAGAAAAGAGCAACATAGGGCTTGGAGAGGGGAGTCCATGTCAGCGGCGATCTGACTGACGCGCAGGGGGGCGAAGAGTGCGAAAAATGGGACGAGTGGCCATGGATCGCACTACCTCCGCGCATCTTCAGATCTCTTGTTTAGCCAGAGGAGTCTCAAAGTTAATCGGGGCCTTGCATGCTGCCTGTTGCCTCTCTTCGATTCGTTCGCCCCCCCAGCCGGGTTGAGAGAAGGTTCTCCCTGTAGCCTGGCGAGCAGGAACGGATGTGGATGGACGCTGAATGTTTAGTAAACCCACCGTTGTCAGAATTAGGACTCCTTCGGTTCAAAAGCCGTGAAAGTCACACGGGGCGCCTTTGGGGGCTTTGGGGACAGGCCAGTAGCGTAGTCGGATTCTCCGTAAGGCTGTACGCTCTGTACGAAGTTATACAGCGGCGCTAGAATCACACATCAGCTCAAGGAGCGTGCTGCGGTCGATCTCCCGCCTTCTCTCCCTTCATTTCCACCTCATCTCCTCTGCCAGCCCGACGCACAGCGCGACTTACTCTTCTTGTCCAGCAGACCCGGCGGAGGCGTTACGGCTTCTGGGTATTCGGCACCACAATTGAGGTAGTTCTTGCGCCACTGGTCCCCTCATCAATTGAGTTTGTGTGAGTCGAGGCAAGCAAGACAAGCGGCCCTCGCGTCTGGTATGCATGTCCGGACTCTCTACTTGGAAGTTGGGACTGAGCGCAAGCTGCGAGAGGGCAGAAGAGCAACGAACCCAACGAACCCAACGAACCAACGGGGCTGAGGACGAGATGGATTAGCTGGGATTCGGGACCCGAGCACCGAGATCAGCGAACGATCCCAACAAGCCCGCCATGATCGCTTCTCGCTCGTCTCCAGCGCGCACGTAGTACAGGCGTCGGGCCGTCCAGACGCCTGGGAGTTTGGGAGGGAACTACGACGGCAAACACGATATGCAATAGGGCCAGCGCCGGCCATTGCGGGGACGACTGGTCTGCGATGAGATCATGAGGGTCGTGTGAGGTTCGTCTTTCCTGCTTTTCGCCAGCCTTTTCAGCTGAGGTGAGATGAGCGATGGGCCGTTGCCCTGCCAAAAGCCAGACGCCAGGTCGCTTAGTGGCATTCTGCAGCTTGCCCCTTCACCAGGGCCCTGATTCGCTGCAGTGCGAGATCGAGCGCAAAGTAGAAAAGCCTCTCCGCGGAGTTCAGCCTGGTCGGGTTCAGGGAGGCAGGACTAGGCTAACATGGGCACGGCTCTTGTAGTAGCTTCTCCGCTGCTTTTCAGCTGCGTCGGTCCTCGATACTCGCCTCTCTCCTCCAGGCCTCGTCGCAGCCAAGAGCAATCGCCTGGTTTCGAACAGAGCTACAATAGTTTGTATTGGTAAGCAGCACGTTGTACTATTCTCCGAGCATGGATTTCCCTTGACAAGCATCGCCTAGAGAGCGGGGGGAGAGACAAGCGGCGAGCCTCTGGACTGGATAGACTCCGATAGAGGGACCCTCGCGATGGTATCGTTGACAGCTGAGACCGAAAGGAGAGCCTCCTAGAGTATATCAGAATAGCCACGGATCGACGGAGGGAGCGATCGCATCTCGATATCGGATAATAACCCATGTTGTTGCATGCTTTGAAAGAGCGGTCAGTTAGTGGCAGTTGGACTATGGAGTGTCGTACATACCTTACCTTAAGGATCTTGATTCAGGCTGTACAGAGAGAGGACCTTGAATATGTTGGGGATAGCGCATCGAGCTTCGACTTCGACTTGGACAAGGGGGAGGTCGGGACGGCCCAGCGAGGCGGACACGGGATTACGTCGATCACGTGACTTACCGATCGTCACTTCAACGACGTGGTGGGGGAGAGGTCAGAGTTCGAAGCCACATTGCTGATCGCAATATGGCTATTATTACTCGAGACAGATCAAGATCTTGACAGCTGACCAGGGGAAGCTTCTTTCGTCACTACTTCCGAAATCAAAGTTCCGTCGGACGGAGATGCTCACCCGTTCGTTTCCCAGCTCATCTTTCCTCCTCGGGGCTCTCCAGCAGAATAGGCTTCGGCGAGATACATATCGGGAATTATCATCCATTCAGATTAAGGATTGCTCAGCGCAGTATGCTTTTGTGTCTGGGACAGAGAGGTTCATGGGTTCACCAAGGATGAACCCTTCCGTCGTGTGGCTGGATATCTATCAGTCGAAAACTACAGTAACACAAAGACAGTATGGGAAGGCCTATTTGTTCTTCGTCTTCAATCTTTATTGTTACAGTAAGACGGAAAGTATATTTCATTTTGTCATTTCAGTACCTACTACCTCCAAAAGAGCAACAAAGTTCCGGACTTCCCTGACAGGCGCCCCCGTTATAACGATCATAGAACTCGCCCAAGAAAAGCCACCTCTGTTGCAGGACATTGTAGTGACCAAACAGCAGAAACAAGTGAACCACTCGTCTACTTCTTGTTGGCAGTGTGGTCCCGGGCGAAGCGTCGCTTGCGGAGGTTGTACTCGATGGCACGCGCCTTAGCGGCGGGGGACTGGGTGAAGGCGACCGATCCACCGAAGGGTCCTGCGAGCGCGCTGTTCTGGAGCTTGGCAATGCAGACGCCGGTTGCACCGCCGATGCTGCCCTGGCAGGTCATGCCAGCGGGCATTTGGATTGCGACTGGGAAGTCCATGGCGGTTGCGAGTGAGAGACCACCAATGCCGACGCCCGGCACGTTCTGGGTGACCGTGGCTTGCTGGAAGGCGGATGGGTCGGTCCCTCCCGAAGTGGGATCAACCATGGCGGTTAAGGGCCCGGCTCCGTCCTGATTGACCTGGTGAAAGTTCATGGTAAGTGTTCCATCGTCAGAGCAGGTTGGCAAGCCCTTCGTCGCACCGACACCTGCAGAGGCCGCGACACCAGTCTCCGTGGTGCCAGCTGGAGTCTTAGTTCCGGCGGAACCTGAACCGCCCCCTCGAGCAGCAAGTCGGCGCATCATGTTAGCCTCGTGGATCTCACGGGCAGCTACGGCAGCAGTGCTGTTTGCATCCCCTCCCATGAAATTAGAGATTATCTTGGAGGCGTCAACTGTTCCATAACCGTTGGTTCTGCCGAGGGCAGTGGCCTTGCCACTCAATCGGCTTGAGCTGAAAATGGTGGTATCGGCTTCAGCACCGCATGATGGGGTGGCACAATCACGAGGAGTTCCGTCGACAACTAGAAGGAGTTAGATAATGAACGGGTAAGATCATATACCAGTAATTGCCTTACCGGAGAGACCAGGCATTGTTACGCCATTGGCACCAGTGACTGAGTCAATGACACCGTGGGCTAACACGTTAGTGATGACAGAGGCAACAAGGAGGGCCCCTGATAAGTATTGCATGTTGAATCTGTGGGAGAACAGTTGGATACGGATGATTAAATGGTTATATATGAGGTTGGAGACAGAGCTGCGACCGGCGCGGGATAGATATAGTTAAAGACGAGGAGAAGAGGAGGAGAAATCGAAAGATACTGATGATAGGGAACGGTCCATTTGAGCAGGACCCCAAGAATCTATATTTATATAGAATTGGGCCTGCTCTACTGGGCACGAAGCTTAGTAGAGAAGATCTTAGATACCTCGGCTTGATGGTCTTCAGGAAGCCTTCTGACATTGAGAATGGTTCTGAGTGTTTGGAAACTCCCAAAGCAGATTTGTGATGTTTGGTGATACTTGTTCCAGACAACTTGGCTCTGAAAACACACACGACAGGGTCTAGCTTAGAAAAGGATAACAGCGATTGGATGCAGTTTGAAGCAGTTGAAGCCACGCCGAAGAACCGGGGTTGTCGATAAAAAAGCAACCTTTACCTAGGCTGCTCGGTTCAAGGAGAGCAATGCATCAGTGCTTGTTAGATCGAGGAGATCTGCGCGGGTCATAGACTTCCGGAGAAGTGTTTCCCCCTAGGCACAGAAGCTAAGCCTCCGGTTGTCTGGACCTTGGCTTGACAGATACTGTGAGATCCAAGCAGTGAGCAGCAATTGGCCCCTTCACATTTAGGGTTGTGGAAGGGACCGAGCGATTGAGCAGTGCCCGCCATTTCTGCAGGTGACCCTCAATAGCTCAAGGGATGTCGATCGTCAAACAGATCATTGTTTATGCAAACTCTTGACTAAACTAATAGCATCTTAGCAGATGAGTGTCGAAACGTTTGAGCGGAGAGAAGACTGATCGGGACTTGGAATCCAACGCTCAGATCGCTTCTTGAGGAAAGCTTCGCGGGGTTGAAAGGCATAAGAAGACCAGACCAGGGTCTCTCCTCGGACATGTTCCTCTTAGTTCTGGTGTTTGGAACATTCTGCGAAGCAGCTTGCCTCACACAGCCACAGCACAAGAATGTCTTGGCGATGGCCAGCCCACGGTAGTTCAGGGTGCCCTGAGCCCTCACTATATTAAGGTTGAGCCAAGTGCCGACAGTTCCGTACCACTTGGCCGCAGGTATATCTCTGAGAACATGGAGTACAATGTAAGAGACACCGCATGGAAGTATACTCCAGCCGTTCCAACTTTGATATGTTTTCCCGCTTTCGTTCCATTACCTCTCATTCCTGTCCTGTGTATCCTGAACCATTGCCACCGACATGTTTATTCGACAAAGATGTACAATTCTCTTCAAGAGTATCAGAAGGACGTATTCCTGGTCGTGACGAAGAGAGGTGCATCTCGAGGTTGTTGGAGTTTCACGTCGTTGGCCTCGGTCCAATCCGAAGCGGTCCGGGTGTAATTCACGTGATCCGACGACGGGAGACAGTGAAGCACTGCAACTATTCGAGTCTCAGTCTAGAGAAAGACACAATTTCTAAAAATCATATACCATTCATCCGAATAATAAAACAAAAAGTCCTTCTCCATAGAGAAAGGGAAGTTGGCCAGGCTAAACCCATATTGGTGTTCGGAAGTAAAAATGTCCCTTGATCATGTACCGTAGCACTTGTCATTCCTCGGCCATTTTAGAGTCTAGTCTTCTTCAAGTATGCACAATCATGGTGACAATAAAAAAGTGAGAAAATAAATTGCAGTATTCGCTGTGCTGTCTATCTATGAAAGAATAACCCTCATGTAGAATTGCTATGCTTCTAAGTTGCAAGATGCCAGTGTCCCAATATCCCGCGCAAACATTTAACCGCAAAAACCAGAAACTGCTGTTTTTTTGAAAGGGACAAGTAGGTCTGCGGAGGACTCCTCCATGTCCTAGAATGATGCTGTTCAAGCCCCAAACCCGAGCGTTCACAGTTATTCACATTTCAAGTTCAGTAGTCCCAGCCCCAAACATCTCGTTCAGCAGACCAGTGCAATCCTGTCTATAATTTGAAACAGGAACTGCATATTTCAGTTGACCCTCACCGGAGACTCCCTCGGTGGTTTTGATGGTCATCTGTATTCGGCCGATGTATATCCACTCTAGTCTGGGAAACACTTCCGAATACTCATTGGCTTCGTTCAACATATTCAGAAGATGCCCCGGTTTGGATAATAACTTAGCATGCATTTCTGGGACAACATCTCTGAGGGGATCTTCCGGTTCTCCAAAGGCCGGAATAGATGGGTGATTGCTTTCAGTGGCGTTTTCCTTGTCTGGGCTCATCTTTCTATAGGCGTCTTGCCGAAAGGAGATCCTTGTCAATCTAGGGAGTATAGAGAGATGCTCTCTCACGGCTTCATGGTCAACGAGCCAATAATTTCGAGAGCCGGGCTTACCAAGAGCGCTGAGTTGAATTTGTTCCAAGCTTCTTATGGTACCGATCTTTTCTAGCGCCGAATCCGGGATGGAAGCTTCTCTCCACGTGAGGTCGAGAGATTTGAGAGACAGAAACTTCTGCGAAAGTAGTGGGAGAAGCTTGTCCTCCAGTAATTCGCCCCGGATTGGGGGACACAGACTCAATTTGAACAGATGGGAGTTGGCTTGCAGGAAGTCCATTGAATGAGGCTTCTCCAAATGTGCGAAGTTCCATACGAATGTTTCTAGAGTGCGAATACAGCCACGTTCTCGGAAGCAAATCTCCTTGCTTGTATTAGCCCCTGGTGCGCTTTCTGTGTTGGTAAACAAAACACGGAGGGGTGCATGCAATAGAGCGTTCAAAGTAGCTGAATCCGCAAAGATGACATTTCCAGCCAAAGACAGTCTGCGAAGCTTGGGAAAGCACGGCATTTTTGAGGGATCAGTGCCGAAAGATTGGGGATCGGTGAAACCAGCACTAGCAGTTTGCCACATCAGGGATTCCAGAGTCTCGGAGCATTGGCGCAAAATGCTGGCGCACAATGCAGATGTGCTTTTAGGTTTTGTTGGTGTCTTTCGCCCGGGGGGCTTTTGAAGATTAATATGAAGATTCCTAAGGGGCCATCCTTTAACCCCAGGAATATTCGGAGGGTCAATGGAGAATACACCATCAACCAATGGGCCAAACAACCTGAGATCCCTGACGTTCGAACGAGCCAGGCTGTCGTAGAATGACTTAGGTAGGATCACTCCATCCTGCCAATCAAGGAGTGACAGGTGTGGCAATGCTCTGCTATCTGAGAGCAACCTCCCTAATTGTCCAAGGTAGAAGTCATGATACACCTCGGATGCACGACATAACCAATCATATTTTTGCGTTTCTGTCAGTTCAAGAGAAGTTCGCCTTAGATGAGCTGATTTGAAGAAAACAGAACTGGTCAAAACGACGATGCGCTGGATACACACTCCTAGTGATGGCAGAGAAGTCAACCCATTAGACCCAGGTAAAGCCCGTTCTTTGAGCTCCCTACAAAGAAGGGATAGAAGTTGGAAACTTCTATTACTATAGTCCAGGTGGAGGACAGCAAACTGGCGTGATCGAGCTAACTGCCGGCAGTCCCGGCTCACGAGAGCCAGGTTTGCAAGAGCAGAGGGTTCGATGTGTCGGACGATCAGTGTTAGAAGTTCAACTGGTAGATTCAGGAGAGTTGCAGTAGAAGTTGTAGCCCGTGTTTCCATGACCCGATCGAATGAAAGAGGTAGAGGTCTTTCCACTGTTCTTCCAAAAACAAAACCCCTGGTAAGGTTCGCCACACCTAGCAAGCCTGTGTCACTAGGAGGCCAAGTGATTTTGCGGTCAGAGCCCCTTGACCTCTGTAACTGGTCAATCCTACGCTTCTCCAAATCTAGATCGGCAAGGGGACCATAAAGGTCTTGAAGAACCGCGCTAATTGGCATTATGAATGAATGATCAAAAGCCTCCAAGTAAAAGGTCTGTATCCAACGGATAAGAAAGGGACTCTAAGGTCTTGTCGATCTAATTGTCAGCAATGAATATGGTTATAGACTTGTAGTGCGACCGACCAATAGATGTGTGTGCGAATCAACGATTTCACTCGATAATAGGAGAGTGCGAAACCAATATTTTGATTCACACTAATAGTGTATGGAAGTAAAGAACGTAGCCTTGACGAGGATATCGTTGATGTTAGCAGTAGAAGACTGTTCGCTTCGTGTTGGGTCTTGGATATCGAAGTTGAAGAGTCAAAGAGAAGGTATCGACAGCCATGTCCGCAAAAGTGAATAAAGAAGCAATGTTCCCAGACGCGAAAGTTAGTGAAGAAGACAGACGAGTGAATGTTGAAGATGTGCTGCCTCCATCCATCCATCCATCTGGATGTTGGGCCATTCCCACTGGGGAAGATTGCATCCCAGCATTGTTAGGACGGGATAAATGCCAAACCCACACACTTGTGGAACTGCAAGAACTGATTATGCTAATATGATCTCTGATATGCTCGAAAAGATTAATTCCAGAGCAAGAATAGCTCCAAGTCGATCAAACCAAACGTTAGAATAGGGTGCACCCTAAACTAAAGCGGCTCCAACGTCAAAAGTCAAGCTTTCAGATCCGGGGGGCTTAAGTCCATTTAACGCCGAGGAGGGAAGATAAGACTCGAAGTCTACGAGAGCTTCACTTTTGCGCCGAATTTCCCAACACAATCGAATCCATCACCCACCGATTTATCATCCCATCCCGATCAAACTACACACCACCAGCGCCATCAATTGATTCTCCTCCGCTATTCACAATGTCTGGAGGGCCGTGTCCAGACTGTATCAGTGGCAGCGTCCACCTGGGGACCCCCACCGGCACTGTAACGACAATCCACGGCCTTCCCGTCTACGTTTCGAAGCCCGACGAGGGCGTAACACCCAAGGGACTCGTCGTCTACATACCTGATGCGTTCGGCTGGGACTTTGTCAACAATAGAATTCTATCCGACCACTATGCAAAGCGCGGCGGGTTCGTTGTCTACCTACCAGACTTCATGGGCGGTGCGTCTGGCCCTCTCCGAATCAAGACCGCATACTGACGATGTACAATTGGCAGGCCACTCGCTGTCCCCGGACGCCCTGAGCCTCATGGATAAGATTACAGCGCCCGCCAGCTGGTTCACGACGCTCTTCTACAAGCCCCTCTACGTCCTGCGCGCCATGACCCTGTTCATCCCCTGGCTCTACCGCGTGCGCAGCTCGGTCGTCAAGCCGCGCCTGCTCTCCTTCTTCAAGTCCCTGCGACTCTCTCCTCCTCCTTTCCCGACCTCGAATCTGAAGATTGGCGCCGCCGGGTTCTGCTGGGGCGGTAAGTACACGATCGAGCTATGCGGCAATGCGCCGTCCACGCGCGTCGTGCGCCACCCGGAGCAGTCCTCCTCGACGGCTCTCGAGCCCTTGATCGATTGCGGCTTCACGGCGCATCCTTCGAATGTCTCGATGCCGATCGATATCCAGAAGGTGGAGCTACCGCTGAGCGTGTCGGTTGGGAATGAGGATATGGCCATGAAGGGCACGCTGATTATGCAAATGAAGGATATCCTGGAGAAGAAGGGGAGCCATCATGAGGTTGTCATCCTACCCGGTGCGAAACACGGGTTTGCGATCCGTAGCCATCCGGAGGATAAGTTGCAGATGGACTATGCGGAGAAAGCGGAGGTTCAGGCCATTGACTGGTTTAGGCGCTGGTTCGCTTGAGTTTGGGGTTTTGTGGAGTTGGGGATTGATTGCCTTGGGCAATAGCAATTGTACGCGGATTTGATCACGGAGTTACGCAGCAAGCTCATCTCTGGAATTGCATCGATTTTCAAAATACCTTGATTGAAAACCAAACTTGAACTTAACTCATGGAGCTCCTAGATGGCATACTATGCAATAGTAGTGTGCAAGATAATCAATCGGACGAGGGGAGATGATCACTCGAGTCCTTAACGTTCTTGAAACGAATCTGGACTTTTGAAAGGTAATCACGCTCATCATATGACAATCCGCAGAGCTTCAGGGTATCTTCTTCATTCCTTGCTTTTTCTTGCGTAGTCCCGCAGACCCGCATCTCTATATAAAGAGAGAATATGACACGCAGACACCAATGTCTTCCAAAAACGTAAATCCTATCATACCAGAGCGATCAGTATGGAGTCAAATAACCTAGGAACAATGAGATATAATCAAAAGGTAAGATTTCAGACAGGTTGAGAAGATTTGTTATTGCGGTTTTTGTAGGCATGGCCTGCTCTACCAGCAGGAGTTGGCCGGCTGGTAGGAACAGGATACTATGGCCCCGCGGAGTCATCATGAAATAGTGTTGGAAAGGGACCAAGATTAATCCACGTACCTTCCATGCACCAGGCAGCTCATAACCTGGAATCTAGATGAGGACTTCGGCGATCTCTCCGTTCCCTCACCGCTCAGGTATAAACTTCCCCCTCTTCTCTTTCATTCCCATCAACCTCTTCTTATCCTCTTCAAACTGCTGGATCAATTGCGCTTGCTCTTGCTTCCTGATCTCCCTCAACTGGAATCTATAGAAGGGTTTCTCCGTCAACTCCTGCTTCTTCTTCCGTTCCTTCTCCTCCATCTCCAGTCTCTTAGCCTCCGCTTCCTCCATCCTCGCAGGCCCAGTCCTGCCTCCTCTGGTCACCGTAACGAAGCCATCCTCATCCGGCACATTCCTCTGCCTCTTCGCCAACCTCGCCTTCTCTTCCTCCTTCCGATTCCACTCCGTCATAAACGCATCCACGTTCGCCTGCAGCGTAGCCGGATCCGGGTATCGCATCTTATGATGCGTCAAATACCGCCTACTTCCCAGGGCCGGGACTTTATCCTCCACGCCCTCACCCCACACCGGCCATTTCTCTTCTTCCGCAGCAGATGACTTATGCAATTTCCGCACCGCTTTCAGCGCACTCTCCACACTCTTCTGATCCACCAGCACCACGACCGCCGAGCTCCCACTCTTCCGCAGCTCTCGATCCCACAGCTGCGGCAGCTCCGTATCAGCCTGCGCACTGCCCTCATTCGCCGCCCGTTTCCGCTTCTTGCCTTTTGTGCTTACGACCTCGACTGCTTGGCTCGGTGCGCTGGGCTGGACCTTCTCATGCTCGAAAGTCATGGATTCCAGACGGCCCGCACCAATTAGCTTCGTGAAGACGGCGCGAAAGTGCGCGGGTGTCGAGTCCACAGGGACATTGACGACGAACAGACTCCGAGCATCGCTCTCGCTGGGGATTTTCGGGGCGTGAGGTCGGAGGTACAGCGTGTGTCGCGCGGGCTTGGGGTATGCTGTGGTGGGAGGGAGGGTGAGAGGGAGGACCGTGTAATCGCCGATCTTCGACATCTCGAGTATGCGATGTCGAGCTTGAGGATTTATTTTCCGGGTATTGAGAGCTCCTGAGATGTTGTGAAGAGCATTACTAGTGGTGTGGTATGGTTGAGTTTATCGCTGGTTGAACTTTTTAGACTTTTTAGGTGAAATTCTTCCCGAGATCTAATCTAATCTAATCTTGGCGACGCTAGGCGCGATTGCAGTACAGCAACCGCACTGCAGCACAATCCCTCAAAGTTCATATGCCTGACCTAGGTAGAGATTCCAAAGAATCCACATACAACTCGACTGGTTATTTGAAGTAGCAGTAACTATTGGTATCACGACATTTGATAAGTAAGTGTACTTTTTCTAAACCAATATATTATATCCATGGTATTGCTTTTTTGGAGTGATCCATAACCTTACCATCAACCCTACCACTTGCTGTCCAACATGCCATCACCTACGGTCAATGCTAGCAACCCTTTACCTGATTCTGCGCGGATTGCTCTGTCGAATTTAACGCCACAGCACTACTCGGCAATAGAGCGGGCCATGTCCAACATCCTCTCCACGGACCTGGCATCTCAGACCTTTGCCCAGATAGTTGACGGTCTTCCAACACGCGATGTCTATCAAGATTATTATGGTTCTTACCGAGACGACTATCACGGCAATTTAGAGCCTAGTCAGCTAGCTATGGGAGTCGTAGAAGCATATCGAGACGGCTTTAGTATTGGAATCCTCCAGATCGACGTAAAGGTACCCATCTATCTCCCATGCTACTTGCAAGAGCTACCGCGGTCCGCAGACCATATGAATACTAAGTATGATTAGATCTTCCAGTTGTATCAAAATGCCCTGAAGGGCTCAAGAGAGTTCATTCTAAGGTTGATGGAGATTATTGCTATCCTATGCCACGATATCGCTGTGAATCTATACATCAAATACGAAGGCGGCATTCACAAACCGGATCCTGCAAATGCCCGTCGAAAGCCACCTCCCGAACTGTCTCCTGGACTAATACTACCGCCCACTCCACCTTTACCAGCGGAATTCTTCCACCCCTATTACCAAGATTGGGAGCAGTATCCCAACGGCGTCGCTGATGTCGTAGGGTATTGGGCCGAGTATCGTCTTTTTGGTGGTGTTATCCTGTTTGATCGCGCCGAGTCTGGTACTGAGGTAATTGCCCCTTCTTACCCCTAGCTCTCGACTCCCTGCTCAACGATCTTTTTCAGTGCAATGATGTGTTTATACATCCGGTAGGCAACTACCAGATATTCCAGCTTTCCGAAGCCCAGATCCAGCAATATGCCAACTTCATACTGTCGGACTCGGACTCGTCGCAGCACCAGGATATGTCTCAAGGACTGCGTTTTAAGGCCGAGAGATACGCACGCCGTGTAGATCCTTACGATGCGATGTCTCTCCACATCTATCGTAACAGGAACGAACGGAAAATACCAGATGTTAGACCGGTTCAGTGTGTGGTTCGCGGGGAAGATATCCCGGGATATGCTGAAGCTCTGCAAGATCTTGTCAAAAGGAGTGGAAATCAGCAGGCACAGTAAGGTTTTGTTGGGCGAGATGAAGGAGTATGAGAGGGACATGATCTGTTATCGATATCCAGAGTGGGACAAGAGTTATATACGCACTATTTATGGTAGACCGTGCTCAGAGCTGTTCATCCTCTGCTTAACTTAAGACGGTTGCTCAGGTTCAAAACGGGTTTTTATCAGATGGCTCTCAATTGGAAACTAGGTATACCTAGAGCGAGCAAATTGCGATGCCTCATATTGTAGCTGAATTGAGATCACGAGTATTTGGGAAGACCTTATGATCTGCAAACTTCGCCCTGCCAACTTCAAGCATCTTTAGGGAAAAGCTCTATAGAACTTCACGAAGTTGCAACTGTATGATCAACATTTCTATACTTTATCTATTTATTCATCGGCGTTAATAAAAAGAGAAGGTCAGATAAATACCTACCTTATTCACCCCCCTCCCACCTCGCTAAGCCCCCCTTTTCCAAACAACCGCGCCCAGTCCTAAGTAAACAAACAAACCACCATCACATCCCCATCTGCCCCTCTCCACCGCTCTCCAACACGCCCTACGCGTCCCTCAAAAACCAGCTCCCCCCAAAACCCCCCTCAAAAACCCAAAAAATCCCCCAACCCAGCAAAAGAAATACACACTTAGCTTTTAATTTAATCTTTCTAAAGAAACACATTCTACTTACTTTTTCTCAAGATAGGACAGAAGGGAATTATTTGCACTTACATGTGAGCTATACCGAGCTTTGCGCCCACTTGGGTCAGCAAAGGTCGTCTTCTCCCACTTGTCCTATACCCCGTGGGGTATTGGGATCTGCGCGCGTGCGCAGGTGAGCAAACACTGGTTTGCGGAGGGAATTTGCTTATTCTTTGCTATGAGGCTGGGTTTTTTTGGGGTTGGCGGGTGAAGCTTGAAGGGAGGGGAGGGCACGTGAGGGAAGGGGGTGGTTGAGTAGTGAATTGGAGGCGGGAGGGGGGAAGTCTTCGCTCCTCTTTAGGGGGTTGGGACTTGGGGGCTTGGACTACGGCTTTTGACTGTTTACTTATACGTAGAGTACTAGATATATATATATCTGCTTCAATATATCTTGAAGTATTAGGATCTAACATAGTTTATGTATATCAAGTCCTCTCCAAATCTTTCATTCCATGCATCTTGTCGACACCCCGGCAGCGACCAGCTCTGGGGAACTATGGAGCTCCCAGTGATACGCAAGTGATCTTCATTACATTTATCAACACGTATACTACCTTGAAGATAGGAAGCTGAGTATGAAGTTAGATAGATGTAAGTGTTTAAGGCTGGAATAGAAGGGTCTACTGTCCAGATTTTACGATGGTAAACAAAGCGTACAAGCCTCTCCAATGCAATCTAGGTATGTTCATCAAGCAGAAAGTCACAAGCTGACTCAACCAACAAATATGGCAAACTCTCAAAGAGAACATTGGGTACGATTAATATCAAGTTTTGATAAAAGCTCTGAATTCAAAGCCTATAGTCTAGCTGATGTGCAGTTCTGATGCCAGGGGTATATCCTCCTTTTCCAATAGCAACTCCGAAAGCAGATATGATATGCAAAGACTAATTTCTACAGAGACATTCCTGAGGTCCGCCACTGTATGTTTGAGGTAGCAAGGATAGAGAATGGTTACTTTAGTGTTTTGAATATGGATCGAGAACTTGATTGTCAACTCCCCGGGCTGAGCTGAGCTGTATTGTTCATGCCTTCTCTGGATCGCTGATTCCACCAGTGGTGATGATGTAAGTTGCTTCGCGCTCGGGGCAGTCTAGAATATCATCAGCAGGGAGTTGGACCACGTATGTAAGGACAGACTCACCAGGCGAATCCACAATCTTTGCAACACGTTCTTCACCACGACCCTTGCGAAGGAGAAGGCGAGTGGTAGAAGCATGTGCTAGAATATGTCCCCCAGCTGGCTTGCGGCCGTCAACTCCCGCGAATAAAGCACTCGCACCAGGATCCGACATGACTTGATTGGTCTGTGAATTGTCAATTATATGGTCATGAAGTGAAAGGATCAGTTCTGACCATTAAGACAGCGAGATTGAATTCTTCAGCCATCTGAGTTGCCTTACGGAGGAACGAATTAAGTACCTGCTGGCGATCGGAAAGCTCACCACGGCCAACATAATCAGTTCGGAACAGAGCCATGACACTATCAATGATGAGAAGGCGGTATTCGTTCGTGGCAAAATTCTGACAGAGAGTTTCCAACTGCTCTGCTTGCATCTAATGATGGTTAGAGAAGGTAAATAAGACAGGGGGTTTGGAACCAACCTCGCTGTTTTGAGCTCGAGCGTAGACGATATTCTCGCATGCTTGATCAGGGTCGACTGGGCTATTTAGCATGTGGGAGTAAAAGGTGTTTGGAAAAGCTTACCACCAAAACGTTCTGCAATCTCCTGAATGCGTTCTGGACGGAATGTACCTTCGGTATCTACTTTATATTAGTAGCTTCGTAGACAGAGCATTATGGCAACTGACCAATATAGGCAACCTTCCCTTCAGCCCCGCCCATTTCCTAGATCATAGTCAACAGCCGCCCACGCAGGTTGGCTTTTTTACAAACCCTTGGCAATTGAGCAGTGACGGCCATTGTATGGGCAAGTTGGGTCTTGCCACATCCTGATCCAGTCAGCGGTGATGAACAGGGTATAGATGTTTGGACTCACTGAATTCTCCGTATACCTCGCTGATGCTCATAGTCTGGAAGCCTCTACTGGATGTTAAGATTGTCCCAATAGTTGCAGGCTCTCGAGACTCACCCATTCAAGCAAGCATCCAACTGTTTACTTCCAGTGGAGATCCTAATACATCGTTTACGAATATGACCGAGTTCAGCGGCAGTCATAAATCCACTTGCAGTCGGCTGTACAGTATCAGCAAATTTCAATGACCGTAGTGAAGTCGAGGATACTTGCACATGTTTTCTTCGCAGCTTCTTTGATTTTCTCGACCTTGGTATCAGAAAAGCCTTTGATTCGGAGGAGCTTCTTTGTGGTAGTAGAAAGTAGACTCTGTAATGTATGACAATTAATGATAAGATACACGAAGTCATTCCTGAGAAAGGAGCGACTTACACCAACGGTATGTATGCCATTTGCTTTGAGCTTCGAGATATCGGAAGCTCCAATCCCTAGAGAAATCAGCGACTGCAGGAGGAAAGGGGGATGATGCAATATACCATGGTTTTGAATCTCATCAATATCAATGATACCATTCTATTCGAGGTTAGAGTTGATGGGCAAAAGAGAAGCCACAACTTTACTCACGTCCTCGTCATCATCACCATGAATAGATGCCGCAGTCATGATTGCGGGGATACCAATTGAAACAAGGAAGCCTCCAGTAATATCGAAGTAACAGTCACTCGAGTAGGTAGCTAAACAATGTAGTAAAAATCGAGTACTATCAGCTAATAGTACTGGAGGGTACGACAAGGTATCAGGGGAAGAGAGGTCAATGAAGCTCGAGAGAGTGAAGATGTAGGTGATAGTCGGGCGTCGTGAGTCTCGATCAAAGGAAGCAGCGAGATGCACAGTATTTCCAGGCTTCAAGATCTTCAAAGACTGACGAGAGTCGACACGCAACGAGAAGACAGCACACTACCTAGGTGCACAGGCAGGAGAGGATGCCCGCTACAGCACCGAACGTCGATCGAAGATATTGCCTCGGGCTGGAGATCAATTTCACCAGACAGATATATCTGCAGATCAACTGTAATGAGAAGAAGCTGTAGAGATTGATAGAAAAAAATGGGAATGGGAATTGGAACAGGTGGGAAGAGGGTTACCTAGCCCACTTGGCCGGATTGGGAAAAACATGTCACGGGACATGGACTCCCCTTCTATAAGATAAGGTTACCTAAGGTAGGGGTAAGTAGGGAGTGACAATTGCAGCCACCTAGTAATCAAACATCAAGATTATAACTAAGTAAAGGACCTTGGGTAGAATAGGGTCACAAAAGAGGTTGGTAAGATCTTCCGTGTTTATAACCCCTGAGCGAGAACTTACGCAAGGACGTTGTATAGTGAGTCTCGCAAAGGCAGGCCACAATATTAAAAATTACCATGACCAAGGACTTGACTTTGGGGACTATAATGATAAGATTCGGTGTCATATCATAGAAGTTGGCAAAGCATCTTACCTGCCAGCCACATGGCGCAGAGAAACTTTCACCTGCACATCTAATTCATCAAATCACATACACATACATCGCAAGAAAATATATCAAAATGTTCTAGGAAAGCCGCTCTTTGAATTTGAGAAACTAGACTCAGCATCGATTTGTATGTGTCACGCTGCTATCGACGGTCTTTCCCCCACTACTCTCCATCCAACTATCCTTTTCATATCGCCCGTCCACTTCTCTTCTCTACCTCCATCCCTCTGTCTACGGCCGTTCCATGTGATTGTTTTGATCCCAAGATGCCAATGTCCATCAGCGCAGGACACAAGAGCATCTGTATCCGAGAAAATCACAAGTTATTATGGCGCCACGTCAACGTCGTTAAAGGTGGTATCTACCGGGTTGCCAGTTCGTAAGGTAGGAAATGAATATCGTGCAAAAGCTTTTGGGGTTTGCATGTTAGAAACATGGGAAGACCAGGCGCCGAGAAGCAAATCCGTGAATTAATTGAAAATCTTCGATGAATTTTGTCGTATGCCGAGCCAAATATGCAGAAGAACGAGCGGAAATGAGGTCCACGTTATGTCCAAAACCAAAAAGGAAATCCGATGATCGAATACCACTCGTTGATCGATAGTTCATCGCGCCCTACCGAACAGTGGAGGCCCATTAAAGGACCTATGCGACTGAGGCAACTGGTGCAGCCGCAGGGGCAACATCAACACCACCAACACCAATATCGCCATCAGCGACGAGCTCACCGTTGGTAGCCTTTTGAGGGCAGTTCTTAGAGATATGCCCTTCGAGGCCGCACTGGTAGCAGATCTTGCCAGCAGTGTTAAGAGGACCTCCGTTAGGGGCCGTGCAGTCACCTGGTTATCTTGATCAGTAATAATTCAATTGGACAGCTTGGGAGAGGGTAAAATTACGGGAAATGTGACCGTTCTTGCCACAAGCATAGCATTTCATGGCCTGAGCCTGGCCTAAGGTCGCAGAGTTAGTTTAGACTTGACCAAGGAGCGCTCCAAGAATGAACCTACAATCTCTGGAGAAGTGGTTTGGTCCGCCACACTTGAAGCAAGTGGCTGTGCGAGGTCCTCCACGGGGAACAAATCCACCTCCGTATCCGCCGCGAGGAGCGCCAAGACCACGTCCAGCTCCAGGAACGGCACCTGCGCCAGCTGGGCTTGGGCAGGAGCGCTGAGACAAGTCAGCAATGATTCAAATACCGTATAGCTTCACAAGATCATACCGCAAGGTGACCAGCCAAACCGCAGTTGTAGCATCGGCCGCTGGTGCCAGCTCCGCTCAGACGCAGAGTTGGGCAATCAGCCTGTACATGGCCAAGGCCCTGGCAGTGATAGCACTGCTTGGCCTCCGTTGTTCGTGGCAATGGGCAACCGTTGGATTCGTGTCCTATTGTCGAGTCAGGGAGCTCGAGGTTATGGATTTCGTACGGCTAAGGCTTACCAGGTTGCTTGCCTGAATAAAGAGGGTCAGCTTGATGTTATTGGAGTAGATCATGTGGGCATAAACTTACAGTTGTAGCAAAGACGCTCAGCAGAAGAGCAAACTTCAGCATAGTGGCCGACGTTGCCACATTTGTAGCAGGCACGGCGCGATAGAGAAGACATGTTTGCTAGTCTATGTGTCTGTTGCGTCCCATCGTCAGCACAGCACGTAATGAAAGCTCCGTCTCCCGCCGCCCATTCTCGTATGATCTTCCTGCATCTGTGAGGCGGCCTGTCTGCTTGTTCTGCTTGTAACCATTTCTTAACGGCGGTAGCTGGCATGCTTGCTCGTGACGCAGGGCAAGCAAGAGATGGGTTGATGCTTGGGTGGGCGGAGAATTAATAGGATTGCGATGCACGGGCAGCATCCACCGGGCTGCAGGATGCATGAATGCAGTACCACTCCCGCCGGACGTTGAATCTTAAACGGACGGAATCTTCTGGACAACGTCGTCGTATCGTATCGTCTTGTATTGTATCGTTGGATGGAGATTCGTCGCACAGTCGAGAGGGTATGAACAGGAGCTGAGACAGGCCCGGGCAGATGTGCAGACGTGCAGACGTGCCACCTCTGGCATCGACAGATGATCAAAGATTCCACGGAACGAGACGAGTGAGGAATCGCGAGACGCGGGAGCGCTCTTGGGACTTACATTTGTCTTGGCTCTTCCTTTTCGTAAAGTCCTTCTTTCCTTGTCCTTCTTCCTTCGCAACAGCTACGTCTTCTTCCGTCTTCCTTCGTCCTCCCGGGTACAACGTGCGCGGATCCGGAGCAGTCAGTATGATGTTATGGTGTATGATTTGGAGTCGAAAGGCAGCTTTCGTCGAGACCGAGAAAACTCTACGATTGGGGCGTCTTAGCGGCAGCCGATTGGGCTTAGCGCCAGCGACACGAGGGCCCGACCGTCCGACCGAGGGACGCAAGTGGCGAATCAGCGACACGTGATGGGAGCCCGGTCCCCTGACCCAAGATCTGTGGCCGAGGGGTTCCAAGGGGCCAAGGACAGGAACCTGGAGAGGGAGATGCTGTAGTTGATTATTAGATCAACAGAGATAAGGTTGATAATCAGATTAACAGAGACAAAGTGGAGGGAAGGCTCATGCAGCCTGCGGGCCTCGATGGTGGGTTTGAATCAGCATCATATAAGCTGGTCTTTACTCTATATATCCTGAGCCCTATGCAGGTCCTTCTCGGAATTATCTAGGTATACATTTAACCCACCCAGACTAGGTATCTAGGGTTCACATATATCATCTCTTTCCAACTCAAAACACATTCAAAAAACCCTATTAACTCCACGGGTGCTGCATGCTTTCAAATGCGAATATATCGCAAGAACAGCCAAATCCCCACCATTACTCCCAACTCCAGAGAAAATGTCATTTTCCCCGTTGTCCGCAGCAATAGCCTTAACTTGAAACCAGGATACCTATAGCAATTATCCGTAGATTGGTAATAACTAATAACTTTTTATGTCGCATGCCACCCCCGCCCTCTTTCTGATGGGTGCGGTGGGAGAGGAACATCGGTAGATGGTGCGATCGAGCGAGGCTGCGCTTGTATTACATAGCCGACACCGTCCTCAGAGATATAGGACGGGGGTCTATTAGCAGTTTGAGGACCGTCGTCCGCGCGGGGAATTGGAGGCTCAGGTGCTGCAGCCTCGTTGCGCTGCCAGAAGAGGCGATTCGGGTCCACCCTCTATGTAAAATCAGTAATCGAAGATTCCAGGGTATGAAAAGAGGAGTACATACCACACTCTCCCTCCACAAGCCATACGCAGGAGGCGGAAGTTTTGTAGCTTGGCTCTCAATCCCCGCAGCTTCCTCGTCACGTGCAAGTGCGACTCGAATAGGTACCGCCGGATTTGCATAACCTCCAGGGCCAACCATCGATAGAATTCGCTGTTCAGGCGGCGTATCCTCCGGTGGATGAACTAGCATCATGCAGAGGCGGATCATAGAGTGGCAGAAGAAGATCGCTATTAGCAGCATGATCAGGATCAACAGGACATGAAATTCCTGGTTATTGTCTCGTTTCGACAGGGACAGCGCAAGATAGATGGTCACAAATAGAGCTAGGAGCTATACGCATGTTAGCAATTACGTCTGAAAACCCATTTCTTACACAGGGGAGAGTGTACCAGTCCCGAGATGAAGCAACTCAGTATCTTTGCCCGAATCCTCCTATTCTTAATCTTTGGTGCACACCTTCGTTCTGCAAGCCTTGTCTTATTCTTCCTCGGTCGTCTTCCAATATGTACTAATTCTGCCAAGTGCTGCTCAGCCGGGTCTACCCCGGCGGTGCGGGGGGGATTCTGATAGGCCGGAGGTGGAGGTGTAGAGACATAGGGCTGTTCGAGTTGTCGCAATGAATTAGGAGTAATTGGTCGGAAGGATGTCGGGACTGGAGCGCTTTGTGAAGATCCAGGTAAGGAAGATATTCGAGAATGAGCAGAAGTAGTCGTCATCGTTTGAGTAAGGTCAGGGAGCACCAGCCTTGTCGAGGACGAGTTATCCAGACCGAGTGCCAACCGTGGGGCTTTTGGGCTCTGCAGGGAAGACCTCCTGGCCCCGACACTGGACCGTCCGGAAAATAGCTGGTGTATGCCTACCCGCACATTCTCAATTCTCGAGGCTGGAGCCTGCATTGTGGGCTGGACCGAAGTTGAGCGCCTCGTGGCCGTCGACCGTATAGGAGGCATAGCGCCTGAATATTTGATCTCTATCGAGACTGACTAGCTTCGGGTTTCCAGAATACCAAATTATAACCCCCAAAAGAATGACTGTGTATTATCCAGATGACCGTCGACGCGTCCTCCTCAAAGCTCTCTCGCGTAGGATACTGAAGCGCGTCAACACGACCAAGTTCCGCCGTTGATCTGCAGCATCAGGGTCGAATGAGGATCGACTTCGAAGGTATAGATAACGATGATAGAATGTATGTCGAAGAGTTCGAACTGTCTAGAGGACCAGAGCACTCGGACCCTGCAATGAACGGTAGGCCAGTGTCTGCTAGAATAAAATGAATGGTCTGTAGGAGGAGATCCAGTAGGTGTGGAATAGCAGGGAAAGAAAGCAAGGTACAAGAACCAAGAGATTGAAAAGAAAGAGAGTAGCTCGAAACACCCAGATGAGCCAGCTCACGCACGACAATGAGGGCTTCGATTGGAATTCTCAGTGAAAGAACGGAGGAGAAGAATTGGATAAAGCTTGCTCATCACAGACAGCACACGAAATAGAAAGGTTTCGAAGATGTAAGGAAAGCGCTGGCTGAGCCTGTCTCGCAAGAGTAGCAATCACATGGGAGAGATCGTGACATGGCTCTGCTGTGAACTCACCTCGCGCCTCAAGTCTCAAAGGCAGGGGGTCTGCAGTTAGACAAAGCCAAAAAGGGAGAGACATCTGGGACAAGTTTGGTTTGAAGCCGGCTAGGTGAGGACCGTGAGGTTCGGCGGTGCTAAGCGACGGTTTCATCCGGGGAGCTTCGAGGTATTTCAGGTAGCTCGCCCGCCAATCATGATAGAGAGGAGCCCGCCAGACGACCGCAGCTGATGCCGTGCGGCAATGAGAATAACAATTTGGCTGGCAAGGCTTGCAAGGGAAAGGCTGCAAGTTTCCATCTTTGATGTGTTGTGCCCAAGTCCTGCATACAGCAGTTCTCAAGGCTTAAGCCTTGTGTACTACGGTAAACGCCAATGACAGTACAGAGCATGTCCAACGAATAGAATCAATAGAATCACGAGTTTCTGGCACTGTCTTTTATTCTATCTTCAAACAACAGATACATATCTGTTGTAATTTCTGCTATCGATATAGATGCAGCCATATGCGTTTGTCCTCGATTCATGTTCTTAAGTTCTCACAGGTATCAAACAGGGGCACACGGAGGTAGGGTGCCGGTATATAACGCCACGAGTCACGACTCCAAACTCCTGTTAGCTCCAATACCCCTTTGCTCTCTTGTCCATGAAATATCCGTAAGCTTTTCCCTTGCCCACAATTCCCCGTGGGAAAGATGCAATAATATGCATTGTCATCTCCTTCTAGAAGTACCTCGGCTTGTCTCATTTCAATTCACCCAGTAGCAGGTTTCGGTCGGAGGATCCGGAGAGTACTATTGTCTTGTTAGCAGGTGGATCCTTATAGCTTCAAGTGTTGACCACTTACTAATAGGGTCTGACGATGGAGACAACTCCGCACAGTTCACAGTCCCCTTATGCCCAGGAAGCTTATACATCAGCTTTCCGGTCTCGCTGTTCCAAATCACAACGGTCCCATCACCAGCACCTGTAGCAATCTTCTTTCCGTCAGATCCCCAGCTGGCCTTGATAAGGTTCTTCTCTAGGCCAGTAGGAGCGCCATCGAATGTTCGAATATGCCTCTCAGCAGGAGCAAAGGGTCGGATATCCCAAGTTCGCACAGTCGAATCCATCGAATTTGACAGTAGTGTCTGGGAATCCGGCGATACTCGGAGAGACGATATAGTGTCGGTGTGTCCCAGCATAGAGTACACGACGGCTTTTCTCCTCATGTCCCATACCTTGATGTCATTATCAATCCCTCCAGAGTACAGTTCATTCCCAGCCTCGGCCAATGCTACCGCAGTAACTGGAAACTCGGTGGGTATGAAATCGACCGCTGCCTTCGTCCGAGGATCCCAGATACCAATATACCCATCATCTGAGCCGCTGATGAGCAGTTCCTCGCCTCGTCTACTGATATCCATGGTATTGATGATTTCTTCGTGTCCAACGTGTCTCCGTATCCTCGTTCCAGTCTCTAGATCCCAGCTGGCCAGGTGCATATCTGCAGATGCTGAGAATAGTACCCTCGAATCTCGCGACCAACGTAAATCCAATACTGCCCCTTTATGGCCCGTCAGAGTGCCATAGTTCTCGCATGCGCCATAGGTTCTCCATAACACTATAGTGTATTAGTAGATGTGAATCGAGCAGAATGTGAGAGTTAGCCCACTGATTGACCTGTCCATTGAACCAGAAGCAATATAATTCCCGTTCGGGTCAAATTGCGCACAGAATACCTCTCCAGAGTGACCACTGAGCTCCATTACTGGGGCTTGCAGCCCACTCGTTCGAGGGACCTATTCCATGACCATCAGCAAAAGCATTCTCGGATATACTTAGCATATAGCCCATGCGCTATTCAAAGCTATTCAAAGCTGTACATACCGCTTGTATAAGTGCGCCATTTCCACCTGATCCATTAACGACAGCTACAGCCTTGTTGTTGTTTCCGAGGTTTGGCCTCTTCACAACCATTTGTGAAGAGCCGAAAGCATCTGAAGCTGGGCGCTTTTCTGCCGACATAACTGCAGCTTGGAATGGCTCTCAATTAAAGAGATGGTGGGGGAGGAAGTGTGTAGTGGAAATGTCGTTGCTTAATGTTTTTGTAGCTTCCTGGGGTGATTTTTGAGTTGACGCGCTAAGAGAAAGTTCACCAACAGGCGCGGCCGCACCCCGTACGGCAGATCAGGACCCTCTTCTGTGGAACATCAATCAACAGCCGCGTGCTCTGCCTGATCAGAACCTAACAACATCTGTTGAACTTTGATCGCAAGTAGCTGAGAAGCCAGTATTTCATCATGGCTTCATCAAAAGCTGCGCGCATGGGAGAAGAGTAAGCTATAGCTTCCCCTTACTTACAATCAGAGACCCCAACTAACGCTCCCTATAGGGTATGGAAGTAAGTCCCTTTGGATCGAGGCAAGCCGTATACAATTCAGGACTCATATTGGGTTAGGAGTCGAGTCGACAAAGTTAATGCTGAGTTGGTGACCCTGACTTATGGGACGATCGTTGCACAATTATGCAAAGACTATGAGAACGACTACGTTGAGGTTAACAAACAACTCGATAAAATGGGCTACAACATTGGTCTACGGTTGATTGAAGACTACCTCGCAAAATCGAATACCATGAGGAGGTGCTCGAATTTCAGGGAGACGGCAGAAATGATTGCGAAGGTTGGTCCAAATGGCGTTCTAGAGTTCAGTCAGGCTGATCTCCCCAGGTTGGATTTAAGATATTTCTCAACATCACACCAGTGATCACGAACTGGACGAGCGACACCAAGCAATTCTCTTTGATCTTTGAAGAAAACCCACTTGCAGACTTCGTCGAGTTGCCCGATGATGGCAGGGCACAAGATGAGTTATGGTATTCAAATATATTCTGTGGGGTCTTGAGGGGAGCTCTGGAAATGGTGCAGATGCAGGTGGAGGTACACTTTATCAGCGATGTGCTAAGGGGCCATGATACGACGGAGATGAGGGTATCTCTGATACGGTATATTGATGATGAGATGCCAGTTGATGATGAATAAGGGTCGGGCTTTTGGGAGTCTTTGGCGTTTAGAGACAGTGGGTAAGGATATCGTGCAGTTTTCAGAGTTGAGTCATACAAATCTATTAGACTGGCGCGGGGTTTATTTTGATGTGCTTGTTTGCTATGTGTTCTGAGGTTAAATGGAGTTTATCGCAAATATCCTCCTCGCCCCCTTTCTCATGACGGAACTACGAGCCGCGTGAGACGCAAGCCCGGGTATCATCTGTGGCATCTGCAATGCTGTGCCTACTCAGAGTATGAGTATTGCCTTCGAAAAGGGTTTCCCCCTTATAGCTATCAAGTCATATGATTGATTGGGGATCGAGTCAATTCAGTTCAAGATGGAGTCTGCTTGAGCCATAGACTACTAAATGTATAACATTCCTGTCTTCTATAACTCCACACTCTAAGTATCTAGTACAGCTTTTCAAGTTGCAGTGTTCTCCCATCGGGGCAACATGCCCTTGGGTTGGGTGCCCCCCCCC